GTTGCTGTATTGACCCTGAAAACAGAAAATTTCAAGTAATGCTCCATCCGTGGATTCACACCTCGCCGCTCCTAACCAATGAAAGCTTTGTACACACACATGTGGGGGGCCTGCACCGTGGTCTACACATGTCTTCCATCCAGAACATGCAAGCTCTGCACACCGTGCACTGACACGGGCTGGCGTCAATGGTGGTCAGAATTGGTCTCAGTTGGCTTGGACGGCCAGGCGTTCGTTGTTCATGTTCTCCAGCATCGTCGTCACCAGCTCCGGGAGGTCGTATTCGGGTTTCCAGCTCCAGTCCTTGCGAGCGTTGTCGTCATCAAAGTTCATTGGCCAACTCTCCGCTAAGAAGAAAACAACATGATGGTTAAAGACTTCCGATTCTGCTGCTGATCCCCTGCAGCCATATCATTGCTCTACACCAGGGGTATGCAAACCTCCGCCCTCCAGCTACTGTGCAACTACAACTCCCATAAGGCACTGCAACACTGACAGCCATAGGCGTGACTCCCAGAGTGCCCACCCCTGCTCTAGATAGACTTCCTGATGCTGCCAGTGGTGGACCATGGCTGAGAAACTTGTGCACATGCAGCTGCTTGTCAACTCCACCATGGGTGACAACACAGGAGCACAACTGGGAGAGAGCGACAGAGCGTTGTCACCCTATATCATGCAGTAGCTGAACAAGGAGCTCCATGGCAGGGAATATTTTACTGAAAGCTGCAGATGACCGAAAACAGGTTTTGGAGTTGTTCCAAGAGGACCTTCCACCTCAACCCCCTCGACCATGAACAATATTCCCAAAAGATCCGTGACCTTTGATGTTGGTTTATGAACAGACTTACAAGCCCAGCAAAGCCTCTGTCGTCCTTTTATTCCCCCGCCACTCTTTACTGCACACTCCATGCTGCCATTTTTGTTATCTTAGTCATCAGGAGACAGTTGTTGCTTTCTGGTTCTTGCAGCCAGCCACCTGATGACGGGGACCAGATCTTGCCCATGCGCAGTCAGGAGATCTCCGCCACCAGCCACCTGATGACGGGGACCAGATCTTGCCTATGCGCAGTCAGGAGATCTCCGCCACCAGCCACCTTATGACGGGGCACCAGATCTTGCCCATGCGCAGTCAGGAGATCTCCACCACCAGCCACCTTATGACGGGGCACCAGATCTTTCCCATGCGCAGTCAGGAGATCTCCAACACCAGCCACCTGATGACGGGTCACCAGCTATTGCCCATGAGCAGTCAGGAGATCTCCGCCACCAGCCACCTGATGACGGGTCACCAGCTATTGCCCATGCGCAGTCAGGAGATCTCCGCCACCAGCCACCTGATGACGGGACACCAGATCTTGCCCATGCGCAGTCGGGAGATCTCCGCCACCAGCCACCTGATGACGGGACACCAGATCTTGCCCATGAGCAGTCAGAGATCTATGCAGTCGGGAGATCTCCATCACCAGCCTCCTGGGATACATATAAGTCACACGTCCTAGAAGGCTGCAAAGTCCTAAGTGGTGAACTCTTGTGAGATCTCCCAACACTATGGAACCTTGTGATGTGAAGGAGATGCCACCAGACCTCGGGCATGCACAGACCGTGATCCGGCGCCATGTATTATAATACCGCATGTTGCCACAGTGTTGGGAGATCTCACGGGAGTTTACCACCTATGGCTTTGCATCCTTCCAAGACCTCGGCCCCCAGTGATACGTGTCACGTGTCTTGGAAGGATGCAAAGCCATAGGTGGTGAACTCCCGTGAGATCTCCCAACACTGAGGCAACATGCGGTATTATAATACATGGTGCCGGATCACGGTCTGTGCATACCTGAGCCTGTGCGAGATCCGGTGCCACATCTGCCACATCACCTGGTGACATAGTGTCAGGAGATCTTGCGGTACGTTTGGCACCTACAGCTCTGAAGCCTCCTGAGATGGGTGACGTCTATGCAGGAGGTTGGGGGCCGGGAAGGACCACGTCACCTTCGAGGGACCAGGACATCAAAAACGGATTTCTAAAACACTATATATACTGTATGTGCAATGGTGTCCAATGAGGTGGTGAAGGGTCATACACGTGGACAATGAGGTGGTCAAGGGTCATACACGTGGACAATGAGGTGGTCAAGGGTCATACACGTGGACAATGAGGTGGTCAAGGGTCATACACGTGGACAATGAGGTGGTCAAGGGTCATACATGTGGACAATGAGGTGGTGAAGGGTCAAACACATGGACAATGAGGTGGTGAAGGGTCAAACACATGGACAATGAGGTGAGGTGAAGGGTCATACACGTGGACAATGAGGTGAGGTGAAGGGTCATACACGTGGACAATGAGGTGAGGTGAAGGGTCATCCACGTGGACAATGAGGTGAGGTGAAGGGTCACCCACGTGGACAATGAGGTGAAGGGTCATCCACGTGGACAATGAGGTGGTGAAGGGTCATACACGTGGACAATGAGGTGGAAGGTCCTCTTGAAAAGGGCACATGACATCTTATGAGTCAGTCCCCCCAAACACTCACCGATGGCTTGCCGTACCGGGTCCACGTCGTAGCCGACCTCCAGCTCGGGTAGGTGTTTGCGCACCTCCTGCGCCAGCTCGTTGGGGCTGAAGCTCATGGCGTTGATGTTGTAGGTCCTCATGGTGAGGGATTCGGACGGGGCCTCCAGCACCTCCATCGTGGCCCTCAGACAGTCGTCAATGTACATCATGGGCAGGCGCGTGTCCGGCTTCAGGTTGCAGATGAACCGCCCGGTTTTGATGGCGTCGTGGAAGATCTGGACGGCGTAGTCTGGAGGCGGAGACACACGGAGAGATGGAAAACGGTTTGACATTTGACCTCTGGAGGCTCTGAACACAAGAGACACGTCCGGACACGTCATCGGTGATCATAGGACGTATCTCCTACGCCCGGCTCTCCGCCCCCCCCCGCCGCCGCACCCATGATGACGCGTGTCAGATCTTACCGGTTGTGCCTCCTCCTGGCTGCGAGTCGGCAGAAATGATCCCCGGGTATCGGAGGCACCGGAAGTCCAATCCATACCGGTAGTGATAATACTGCCGAAATAAAACAGATTTACAAGTAAATTCCAGGTACGTCGCTAAAATACACGCGTGTCACATACATGACACGGAGGACTTTCATCAGAGGACACCTCTTATGGTTATTGGGTGTCCTTACCCCACCCCCAGAAGACTGAAGGGAAGGACGGAGGTCAGATAGAAGACTGAAGGGAAGGACGGAGGTCAGATAGAAGACTGAAGGGGAGGACGGAGGTCAGATAGAAGAGTGAAGGGGAGGACGGAGGTCAGATAGAAGAGTGAAGGGGAGGTCGGAGGTCAGATAGAAGACTGAAGGGGAGGTCGGAGGTCAGATAGAAGACTGAAGGGAAGGACGGAGGTCAGATAGAAGACTGAAGGGGAGGACGGAGGTCAGATAGAAGACTGAAGGGAGGACGGAGGTCAGATAGAAGACTGAAGGGAAGGACGGAGGTCAGATAGAACACTGAAGGGGAGGACGGAGGTCAGATAGAACACTGAAGGGGAGGACGGAGGTCAGACAGAAGACTGAAGGGGAGGACGGAGGTCAGATATGAGTCTCGGTGTCCCGTCTATGAAGAGGTGGATTCTGTCAGCGGAATGACGCATCTTGTCAAATATAATTAGGAGGCTGTTGGCGGCCTCAGATGACGGGACTCAGGAGGAGGAGGAGTCAGCTGGGTGCGGGAACATCGCCAATATTCATTAAAGGGGAAGTGACGGATTTTATTAGCAGAGATCAGCTGACTAGACAGAACGTTGTGTCTCGGGTGTCAGTTTTGAGGACACGGATGTGGGCGTGTTCTATGTGGCACGGATGTGGGCAGGCCCGGATTTCCCACAAGGCCACCGAGGCCCGGCCTCGGGGCGGCAGCGGTGACCTTGTGGGGAAGTTGCGGGCGCCGGTGTAAGGTGTCCGGCGGCCGCACACTATGGTCCGCCGCCGTCCAATCACGACGGGGCGGCCCGAGGCTAAGCCCACCGGCTCCGTAGTGTGCGGCCGCC